TTTATGGGTGGTCATTTTTATATATATATAAAAGTTACTTTTTATATAATTATCTATAATTTTTATTCTATACAAAATTTTCCTAAAATGGTCCGTATTCGAGAAATTTGACAAAATCTAAAAAAAAAAATTTTTTATAAAAATTGTTCAAATAAAAGTTGTTTGTAATATAATTCTCTATAATTTTTATTTTATACATAATTTCTCTAAAATGGACCGTATTCGAGATATTTGAGTAAATGTGTAAATTTCGAATTTTGAAGAAAACTCAAAAACGGATAAAGAAAAAAATATTAAATTTTAAACTTAAATGTTTATTTCGGCCTGACGTGAAATGATTAGATTTTGGACAAAGTCGGAACATCTGGGGGGGTACTTTATGGGAGGCCGTTTTTATATTTTATGGAATATATCTGTTATTTATGTTTGGAAAAGAAAATTGTTTAAATAAAAGTTACTTCTAATATTATTATCTATAATTTTTGTTTTATGTCAAAATTTCCTGAAATGGTCCGTATTCGAGAAATTTGACAAAATGTGCAAAATTCTGATTTTTATGAAAATTGTTGAACTAAAAGTTGTTTGCGATATCGATCTCTATAATGTTTGTTTGTACATGATTTTCCTAAAATGGACCGTAATGAAAAAATTGTAGGAAATTTACATTTTTCAGTATTTTCGTTTTCAATGAATATCTATAGAAAAATGTTTCGAGGTAGATGTATGTGGACAATGTATATATTTAGTTTATCCTCTAAACATGTATAGAGATGCTGCAATAGGTTGTACAAAATAACCGGAAAAAGCCTATAATAACTAGATAGGAAAGTCATGTGTTGGACACATCAGATTTTTAATAATTTTAACACTATCCCAATCCTTTTTCGACTTAAGCTCATATTTTTTAAAAGACAGAAGCAAGGACAGTCGTTTCAAAGAAAAAAAAATGTTTTACATATGAATATAATTCCTTAAAATTAATAGAATGGCTTAAATGAAGAAAAGTTACTAGAAAAAGAGGAAACTACCATTTTAGTGCTCG